AAAGTAGGTGTGTATTTTCACTCAACTGAAACATTCATTTTTGGAATTATGGCCCCATCCTGATGATTTTAAAAGCCTGATTGCCTCACCAATATGATGCAGCCAAGGTTATATGAATCTTACTTGAAACTTGTTTCACAGAAAGATTACCATACCAACATGTGTGAGGTGCACAAACTAGTAAGAGGTGAGAAAGCGAGTACAAGAAGCTTTCTGAATGGAGGAGTGATGGGGTGGGACAGGGGAGGTTGGGACGGGGAGTGGGAGGAGAGAGAGAGAGAAGAGAGATCTTCCATTTGCTGGTGTACTCCATAAATGTCTGCAACACCTGGAGCTGGGTCAGTCCAAAGCCAGGAGCCTCTTGCTTCTTCTGATTCTTTGGTGTGGTTGCAGGGCCCAAGGATTTGGCCATATTTCTCTATCTTCCCAGACACATTAGCAGGTAGTGGAATCAAAGTGGAGTAGCCGGGGCTTGAACTAGCTCCCACATGAGATGCCAACATCACAGGTGGAGGCTTAACCTACCTCTTTCAGCCTACTTGTTTCAACCTACCTTAAACCTACAGTCCTCCTACTTTCTTCCAAGAAGCAACCGCTGTACCCAGCTTGTGTGACATCCTTCCCAAATGCCACATGCAGCATAAGCATATACATGTATGGGCATATATATATTCCTTCCAGCATATTTAAGTATACACACATAAGTACCTTTATTTATGGGTATATGTAGATGCACAAACACATGTATATATATGTGTGTATATATATATATACATATATATGTAGCATATATTCCTATATCAATTTGACATAGGTAGAGACATACTATAAACTGTTCTTCAATTTAATTTTTTTACCTAAAATCTATCTTGTGAATATACTTGAGAATGTTCTATTAAATAGAAAGCCTTCTCATTGGTTACTTAATTTTTCACTTCTTTATGACTGAACATTCTTTAGCCATTTCTATTCATTTCCTATGAACTGGCTCTTAAAGGTTTTTTTTTTTTTTTTTGCGGGGGAAGAGAGTCAGTTTTTCTAACGACTTAATGATCTTTTATTCCTGGTTTGTGAGAGGTCTTCATACATTAAGGAAATGAACTCATTGTCATAAGTGGTGAAATAATTTTTCCAGTCAATCAATTGCTGTTTGATTTGGTATGTTATTTTTCAAGAAAGAAAAAAAAAAGCACAAAACCTTTTTTATGTAGCAGTCACCTTTGCTAATCTTTTTGGAATCTGGGGTTTTGTGTATTATTTAGAAAAGTCTGCTTATTTCCCAAGAGTAACCGATTCTTCTATATTTTCTTTACATCGTTTCATGGTATTATTTTATAAGTAAATATCTGATTCACCTGCAATGTATTTGAATAGAGGTAGATTTCCTAGATGATGTTCAGATTGATAATAAGTTAAATAAGTCGTGCTCCCTTCCTGATCTGAAAAGCCACTTGTTTCATGTTCTAAATTTCAATACATTTAGACATTCATTGATAAAGATGTAACTTGTTACTACCGAAATCTTCAAACTTGCAAGAAAAGATAGAATAACAAAATGAAGCCCCGGTGGACGCATTAAACTTCAAAAGTTTGAACATAATCAGTTTTAGCTCTTCTACACATTTTTTCGAAGGATTCAAACTATTTCAGTTTCTGAATTTCTGAATGTAACTCCTTTAGCTTGGGCTCTCTTCGAAGCAACTGGAAACAAATATTTAAATGCCAAGTCATTTATTGGCAAACAGCCATTAGGAAATGGAAGAATGAGGGAGAAACGGAAAGGAAGTAGATACACCACACACAAAAAATATGCTTCCGCCACATCAGTTAAGTCCTAACAGGGAGTTTCCTGCAGGCAATGGAAAACACACTTCGTGATATATTGCTCCACCCCAAGCCCTGGTAGGCGTTTGTTAGAGGCTGCTGGGCAGGAATGGTGGGGTAGCTGTGTGAATTCTTAGCACTTCTGGTTTGCCACTTGTGTGGGATTCTGTGGATCAAAGGGAGCTGCAGACAAAAGGACAAGAAAATGATATGAAGTGAGGGCACGTGGGTGCAGGATTGACACAAACCCACAAGGGTCTCTTCAGAAAGCCTCAGCCACAATGCAGTATTTCACAGCTAAAAAACATAGTCAAGTTCTCCAATAATATCAAATAGTCAATGGTTCAATTTCCCAATTGTTTGATTGTTTCATAGATGTGGTGTTTGCTTTTTGTCTATTGGAATTAGAATTCAAGTGCAATCTATATGCTATGATTTCTACTATGATTATTTAAATTTATAGTTGCTTATCTCTTTTCAAAGGGTAATTCTGAAGTATTTGTTACTATTGTTGTTTTGTTTTTTTCAAGAAAAGAACATAATAGAAAAAACAAAAGCATAAGAATTCTAGGGAGCCAAGTAACATTTTTTCCCCAGGTTTTTCAAATCTGCTTTCACAGAACACCTATTTATATCTTTGACCTTTTTTTTTGTAGCATGTTAATTTTACTATTATTAAGTATTGAGATAGCTTTATACACCATGGTGTCACCTAATTATGCGATTTGTGAATTTATGTGATTTTCTCCCAGAAAGCCATTGTTTTTAAATTTAAGATTGATTTTATCTTTCTATTTGAAAGGCTGAGTTACAAAGAAAGGAGGAGAAACAGAGAGAAACAGAATCTTCCCTCTTCTGGTTCAATACGCAAATGACTGCAAAAGCCAGAACTAAGCCAGGCCAATGTCAGGAGCTGGGAGCTTCCTTGAGGTCTCCTCTATGGCACAGGGGCCAAATGCTTGGGTCACCTTCCACTGCTTTCCCAGATGCTCTGGCAGGGTGCTGGATCAGAAGTGGGACAGCCTGGGCTTGAATTGACACACACATGGGTTGCTAGAATTGGAGATGGAGGCTTAGCTTACTATGCCAAAACCTCGTCCCCCAGAGTATCACTTTTCATTTCATTCTTTCCCTGTGTCTTTCAGGGAGACATTCTTAATGTAGATAACATCTTCTATATTTTCATTTAGAAATTTTATAGATTCAAATGTACGACCCATTTTCAATTGATTTTGTACACACCGAAGCACAGCTCAAATTTGAACACTTTTTGGGGGGCACATACATATCCAATTGTTTCAACACTATTTGTTGAAAAGATTAATCCTTTCCCTTTAAGTTTCTTTAGATTTTTTTGTCCGAAACCAATCAGCCATATGTACTCGTGGATTTAGTCTGGTTTCTGTTTTGTTGACCTATTTGTCTAGCTTGATGTCAAGCCACTACTCTGTTGATCACTGTAGCAGTGTGCTGAGCCTTGAATCAGAGATGTAAGTTCATGATTATAATTGCTTTGCGGTATTTTTTTGTTCATGCTAGCTCTTTGCATTTTAAAATATAAAAATAGTAAATTATAACAGCTTTAAGATGTTTCTATAAATTATGAGTCTTTCCATGTCGACAAAATGAAATGAGAGATCAGTCTGCAAAGAACTGACATCCTGGTTCTTGTAATTTGTGCAGAATGTCTTCCCACTTGTGTAGATCTCATCTGACATTCCCAGGAGCTTTTCTGCGGTATTAATGTCCACATATTTCATCTTTTTCTCAGACTTATCCCCATCTTATATTTCTGACGCTGTTACAAGTGACATCACCTGATCATTTGTTTCAGCTGTTTGCCGTTAAAACACAGAAATAAAATTGTTATCTTCTATTTTGTATCCTACAACTTTATTCTTATCAGTTCCAAAAGTTCACTTTTTTGCTTGTTTCCACAGGATTTCCATGCCACATGCTAATAAAGAGAGACCTTTTATTTAGAATCCCGTAGGATGTTTATTTAGCATCAGGTCTGATTAGATCTGTGAACACCGTGATGAATACAAGGGCAAGGAATAGATGCCAGCGCTGAGCTCCCAGTCTTAGGGGGACACATTCAGTCTTTCAGATTATGCATGCTGGCAGCTGAGTGTTCCGTGTAGCTTTTCTTCGCAGGCTGAGAAGCTTTCATTCTATTTTTAGTTTGCTGAGATTAATTTTGTTTTTCATTTTGAATTTTGCAAAGTAGCTTTTCCGTCTCTATTGATATGGTCATATGAATTTTCCAGCTTACTGTGTTAACATTGTGAATTGCAAATGCTAAGCCAAACTCACAGTCCTGGAAAATTCCCACTTAGAGTAGCAGTTCTCTGTACTGTCGGACTGGTACACCTGTGCTTAGGAGCTGTTTTTACCTGTGGAATGTCGTTGGTTTGCTCGGTTTTGGTGTTAGCGTAACGCCTGGTTTATACCATGTGGATGAATGAAGCGAGGAGTTTGTATAGGCTTGTATTTTTGCCTTAAAAATGTAGAAAAAGTCTTGATGAAAATCCCATGTATACTTGAAAAAATGTGCATTTTGCTGTGGCAGGGTGGTGTGTTTTTTAAAGACCACTTATTTCAAAATTACTTTTAATGCTTTCCTGCTACATTTAACCATTATTATAAATCATCCTCTTTTATTTCTGCAGTGTGCTTGTTTTCCAAATATGGATCCCCTGAAATTAATACACCTTTCTTTGGGTTCCTGTTATCATGGTCTCCTTCTCGTACTTTCTCTTTTAATGTATTTGTCAGGATTTTTTGGTGAATTTCTTTGTAGTTATGTGCTGTCTGATTTTTTTTGATTTATTTTATTTTTATTAGAAAGTCAGATATACAGAAAGGAAGAAAGATAGAGGAAGAGTTTGTATCTGATGATTCACTCCCCAAGTGACCACAATGGCCACAGCTGCACTGATCTGAAGCCAGGAGCCAGGAGCCTTTTCCAGGTCTCCCACGCAGCTGCAGGGTCCCAAGTCTTTTGGCTATCTTTGACCACTTTCCCAGACCATAAGCAGGGAGCTGGGTGGGAATTGGGCTGCCAGGATTAGAACTGGTTCCCCTATGGAATCTGGGCACATACAAGGTGAGAACTTTAGCTTCTAGGCTACTGTGCCGGGTCTTGCATGATTTTTTTAAATGTCCAATTTGACAACCTTTTTTTTTAAATTGGTGTATGAAACCATTTCATTTTAATTGTGGTAATCAATATGGTTGGTTTTCAATATACCATATTGCTGTTTGTTTTCTATTTGTCCTGTTTGAGTGTTTTCCCCTAAATCCCTCTTACTCTGCCTGCTTGTGGCTAGCTGAACATTTCCTTTTGACTGCTTCTGATCTCCTTTGTGGGTTCATTATCTCTCACTTGCCTTGTCTTCCAAAGGGAGATCCTTAGCAGAGCTCCGCAATCCCTTTTTGAGCGGCTGCCTCTTCTCTGTTGCTTCACCTGAGGATGCTGATTTGTTTGTCCATCCTGGCAAGGTCCTCTCTGTTCAGATGGACTTCTGCACTCTCCCTGGGCTTCCCCTCTCTTCTTTGTTCTCCAAACTCCTGTCCATGTCAGTGGATAGGAAAGCTGGTAAGCTGGTCAGTGGTTGAGCCCACTTCACTAGCTTTCATCTCTCATGGATCAAATCCAATCTTTCCAGACTTCTAAGGTCATGACAGCATTCCGTGTAATTTGACATTTGCATGGTTATTATTTCAGATGGGGTGGTCCCTCTGCCTGTGTAGCTCTTCATATTGAACTTCACATGACAGAATCTCTTAGGTCCTGCTGCAAAAGTTACCCCCTATGGTAAGTTTTAGTTGATCCTCAGTCCAAATGAACCACCCAGTTAGCATCATGTCCTTTTGGTTCTTTGTCCTTGGATTACTTTCTGAATTTTTCTGGATAATTTAGCTATTAATGTGTTTTTGTATCCTTTGTGTTTGTAGACTACATACTTTAAGACACCATGGACCCTTTAGGTCCCGTTGTCTATGACTGAGATCTCTACCACCGCTTTACACGTTGTAAGCATTTGATAGACATTGACTAAAATGCGTATGTCCCTATTTTGTCAAACTATAAAATCTACCATTATTACCCAAATCATGGCCCAGCATCAAGGCTGGCTCGCAGGCTTACTGGGCCATGCTGAAGTGAATGCAGAAACTGGTAGGAAATTTTTAGAAGCCATAGTCAATAGAATAATTTGATGTCTATTGAACTATGTAATAAAAAATTGGGTGCTTATAGTTTGTATGTCACTCATAATTTTATTTTCTCTGAATTTATGTGTGATTTATAGAAGTATCAATCTGTGATGGATTAGAATTAAAGGCAAAACTAGCAGTCACACTGCAGATGGCTGGCAGATTCGAGTCCATATGCTATGTAGAAATGAACCCTGAATGTCTCAAATGACTCAAATACCAGGAATGCCAATTATTTGCCATCTAATTGTGAGTTAGATCAGAGTTTGTGCTTCTTCCTTGCACAGTGATGGCTATGTGCTAGGCAGGGTTGGCTACTTTCTCTTGTTTGTGCTTTGTGCTCTGACTGTAATTTAAGATTCGCCTCCGAGAGGGGAAATATCTCCATATCTTGTTTAGGATTCTTATGTTAGAAGTTTCTTTTCCTATTCTTTCTCATTTATTTATTATTCAGTCTTTCATTTCTATCAGTATGGTCCCTTGAATTATCAGTATGGTCTCTTGAATTATAATCGCATATTGTTTTAAAATTATTTTTGGTTCATAGTTTTGCAGCTTTGGTACTTGGGTACATTCTGGTTGGTGTCTTTGTTCCTTTGATATGTTATTATCCTGACAGCCTTTTATTTGAACACTATCTTATACATTTATAATTCTTACAGATTTTATGAGTGCACATATCTATATTAATGTGTTCATACTGCTGCCATGAAAATGCTAGAGAATGGATGATTGAAAAAAGAAGCATTTTCTTGTCACAGTTTTGGAGTGGGAAGTCCAGGATCAAAACCATGAAAAATTTGTCGTCTGATGAGGGCTGCTTTACAGTTCAGAGATGCCACCTTGCCACTGTGGGCTCATGAGGAGGTGTTTAGGAATTAAGGATTTATCCCCATTCATGGGGCACAACTCTCAAGACTTCATCACTTACCAAAAGACGATCATCTAATATCGTCATGCTGGGTATTATACTTTTTTTGCAGTGTCAGAGCAGTAATCCAAAGGTAACACTTCTTCACTTGAGTTTATTTCTGTTTGAGAAATACAGGAACTTAGCAAGTGTCTCTTTGAGGGTATCATGTGACAGTGAATTTTCAGCAAGTCAAGAGGTAAAGAGAATGTGTTTTTAATCCTTGAATTCTGATATTTGAGTTTGTTGAAGTAAACTGACACTAAACAGAGTAGCATATGCAAACAGGCTAAGGAGCCACACATAATATGATACTAAAGTAAGATCCAGAAGATTAGAGCTTAAGTACCCTCTTCTTAGAGGAAACGGAAGTGGAGGATTTATGCAGTTTTAGAGGAAGAGTCAATGATTTGATTTTTCAAGAGAGATGGGTACAAATCACAGTGGCCTGAGAGCCTGTCCTTCTGGTCCTTTGGATGTGGGGACAGTGACAGGGCGGAGCTGCGCTGTGAACAGGCTGGGTGGCTGGGGGTCAGGGCTCCCAGGTAAAGCCTGAGGAGGGAAGTTGAGGACCCTCTGTGAGCAGGCACGCTGCTGGCCTTTGGCGTCTCCTCTTGGCTTTAGTCCTCTCTGGGTAATGAACTTTCAGGGAAGGAAGCCAAGAGAGCAGCCTCTCTCCCAGCAGAGCTCTGTCTGTCAGGAGATGGAATAGAGATGGACTCCACGGCAGCTTACCAGCCTTCTTGGTTTCTTTGAATACAAAATGCTCAGGATGCCACACTGACGTATCTTGGAGTATCATTTTTTGCTGAGCCCCAGCCAAAACTGGTAATATTTAATAAATTTGAATTAATATGTCTGAAGGCTTGGTGCCATTCTTTTTTTTAAACCAGGGTGATGGGGATTAAAAATGTAAAGACTCCTTTAAAGATGCTGTGAAATTTGTGTCAGAGCTGAATTCTCTAGACTTTTAAACTTTTCCTCTGGGTTGGTGAGCTCTATTGTAATCATTTGAGTCTCATCTCCTTTTGTTTTCTCCAGTGACTTCTCTAGAGCGTAATGAGCTGTGAAGTGGCTAAGAGGTAAACAGGGGAGGGAAAAGAAAACAGATCTTGAATTGGACACAGATTGGGAGAAACAAGTCTCAAATAGTAGAAATTAAACCTTCCTTTTTGTGTCTTCGATGGAACTGAATATCGGCAGTCTAGGATTCAGAATTCACTCAAGATTTTGTTTTTGTTTTCATTCCTTTTCACTTCATTTTGTTATTGTTTATTCAACAGCCCATGAATAAATATGAGAAAACAGAGTTGGAGACTGAAACTCAGAAGCATGAAAGTCAGATGAGATCAATTTATTCTCAGCTAGTGTTCTGAAGGGAATATTCTCGTGGTTTAGCGATGCTTCGTATTTCTGAAAAAAAACAACTTAGTCTAAAAAATGGTCTCTTAACTAGACAACTATCAAATAGACATGAATTTTTGACTTGACATTTTGGGTACGTAGAGATGACTACAGGACGTCTTGAAAGACAAGATTGTATTTGTTTCCTTATTGATTTTTCTATTTGCACACCTCATGTTTGAGCTGTGACATGTGAGCATGAGAGAACTTGAGGTATGTTTAAGTCAGCAGGCAGAGCGTTGAGCTACAGACTCACCTGTCATTGCCTTTGGAAGCTTTTTGTTCCCTTAATGTAAATAGAAAAAAATTCCCCACCTTATCTCAATGGAGTTTTGTGCTTCTCGCATGGACAGGAAGGAGAGTAGAGGCAGGCTTTGTTCCGTGTGAAAGTAATGGTTACCAGGAAGAGAAAAACCCTGAAGCCCGGAGAGGAGTGCTGAGAAGGGAAATGCGTTAGGCAAGGCCCCTTTCTGTTTTCTTTAGCTTGACAATATCTCAGAGTAAGGGCAGAAACAATGTTGTATGCGAGTATATTAAGAAAATGTTTACTAAGCACGCTTTTTTATCCCTGCCGACATGCAAGACAGATGTGGCTGCTGTTAAGTCACATCAAATAGGGACTGCCTGTGCACCCCTTGCCTGTGTGTAAATATTTAACTAGAAAAACAGAAATATGCGAGTGGTCTGCAAGCAGGAAGCCACAAATTGTGAGTTTGAAATTTACCATGTGCGACTCATGAGCTCAGATAAGTAAAACCAAACGAACAGACTTGGCAGGTTTCGTAAATAATTCATGTTGTTTTGGCAGGGTGGGGAGAAAGAGAAAGGATTCGGCAGTTTTCTTGTGCTCCAAGCACGGTGAGTACGTGTACTTACAATCAGAGCACCAAGAATCGGATGGTGGGACTCTAGTTGCACGTTTTCATCTGAGGTATGAGTTATCACCTTACACAGGCACAATTACTGTGTCTCGTTATTTAGGCTACCAAGTCAGCACAGACAGCCAAAAAAAAAAAAAAAAAGAAAAAAAAAACACATATGAGAATACAGCTGAGAGTTCCTGGAAAATGGAAGGAAGAGAGGGAGGTTTGGGTGGGAAATATGCTTATATTCTTAAAACTATACATGAAAAAAAGCCATATATGAAATACATGAATTTTTTTGCTTTATGTAAGTAATTTTTTTAACAAAAGAATAATTCATTTTGGTGCAAGAAATTTTGAAATCCGCATGTAGTTTTCTTCATAATACGTTTTTTGTAACTTCTCGAAGACTACTTCCAAATGCGGATTTACCTTTGAAAGTCTCTAGACAGTGTCTTCTTCACGAGAAGAATATCTAGTTTGGTAATGCGCCCGAAATAATCCTCATACCTTTGGTAGGTTTTGGCTCATGAGCTTGGCTGTTGTTTATGACCCAATAGAGAACAATGCAATTACTAACATTCTGTTCATATTGTTTGGAAAATATGCTTGAGTACTTTATTATGTTACTGGAAAATGGGTGTGTGTTTGGTCTAGTGGTGAAGTCTCCATTTAAGATCCTGGCATCCCCCTGGATGGAGAACCTGAGTTTGTGTCAGTTCTTCTGTAGATGGTAGCTTTCTGCTTGTGCCCATCCTGGAAGGCAGCAGTAGCCGGGTCCCCTCCATCTCTCTGGAACACCTGATTGAAAGCTCCTGGCTCAACTTGAGTCCTGGACCTGCTATCATGAGTGTTTGGGGTATAATCCAACAGATGGATCCTCAGTTCACCTTTGAGAAGTGTCCCCAGAAGGCAATTCACAAACACACCCCTGAATGCCTGAACCCTGGATCTGCACACCTCAAAATCTTTTCCCTGTTGAGCCTCCACAACCAACTGCAAATCCAAGGCCAAACATACCATCAGACACTACACACAACCCCACTCTGTTCAGAGCGGTTGTAACAGCTGACCCATGGCAGAATAAAGTAGCTGAATATGAAAAAAGAACATATTCATGTGTTCTGTTTCTTTTCTCTCCAACACCTTTTTAAACTTTTGCCTTTTAGGAAGGATGCATAATCATATATTATTGTTGTTTTATTGATTTTTCTGAATGATTCATTACGTCAAGGACTCTTTAAAGTGATTGTTATCCATAGATAGATCTTTTGTCTAGTGTTCAGGTCTTTTGCCCAGTTTTAATTTTTTTCCACCATTTTATTATGAAATTAGAGGAATTCTTTATAGTCTGAATAAAGTTTGTTAAATATGTCTTAAATTTTAGATTTAAAACAGTTGCAGTCACAGAGAAAGAGGGAA